TATTTTTTTTTTTTTTTTTTGTACTGGGAATCAAACTCAGGACCTTGCGCTTGGTGAGGCAGGCGTGGTACCACTGAGCTAAATCCCCAGCCCATAACTACTATATTTTTAAAATGAGCTCTACAGCCAGATATGGTAGTGTGTGCCTGTCATCCCAGCACTCAGGAGGCTGAGGCAGGAGGACCACTGCGAGTCTGAGGCCAGCCTGGGCTACACAGTGAGTTCAAGACCAGCCTGAACTACACAGTGAGACTCTGTCTCAAAAAATAAAATAAAATAAAATTAATACCCCTAAAAATGCACAAATTATTCTTACATAATTCTTTGGTTTTCTTCACTTCTCTTTTTAAGAAACGTGACGTACAGGAGGTGCCCATGAGATTTTCCAACTTCTTGTTGCCCTCTAAAGCCTACAAGAAAGTAATCTGAGATGAGTTAACTATGTCTCTGTAAGATTACTGACCAGAGAACATGGAATGTGCTGATTCCTTCATCTGAAAAATTAAAGACTCCGTGTCAGGAATGAACTGTGTCTGGTATGGCAACTAGCAAGCCTTAGAATGCCTGCATGAAAATAATTTACTGATTAAAAAGATTAAACAGCCTACACACTTACTTTCCAACGTGGATCAGCCAGCTATTCTAGCACTAAATATTTTGGCTGAGCAGTGAGCAGAGATCTGCAAGAAGAGGAAGTGAGACACAGCCTCTGCGAACTCCACGGCGGCGCTCGGGCTGCCTTCCTGCTGTCCTTCACAAGGGCTAGGTAGTGCAGGGAGGAAAGATCATGCAGAAACAATAAAAAAGGCCAACCTGTACACTCCTTAAATTCCGCATTATCTCCACGGTTTCTTCCAAATATTTCTCAACCTTAGAGAACACCACCATGAATCTAGGAAGGCACGGAGAGAAAGGTAAGGATTCAAGCACAGCAAGTCATTTTCAGGGCGTACATTCTCCTTAAAGGAGCTTCCGCTCCCTTTTCTAGCCTTTCTTTACACTTCCCACGTGGCGGAGGATGTCACAGCGCCCTCGCCCCTTCACACAGTGCCTGCTCTCACCTGTCCTCTGGACTCCAGCGGAAGCCCAGGGCTGGGTCCTCTCTCCGGGACACCCTGTACACTTGTCTCGGTCCAAGTCTGTGATGTGTCACTTGGTGACTTTTTAAAAATAAAAACAGTAAGTTTTTTTTTTTTTTTTTGGAGTGGGGATTGAACTTGGCTCCTTGTGCTTGCCAAGCAGGTGCGGTGCCACTGAGCCACATCTCCAGCCCGAAATGAGGAAGTTTTGTGGCTTACATATTTCATGTACATAAGATTTATAATCTTTTAAATTTGAAAATAAAAGATGTTTAAACCCCTATAATCCCACCTTCTGAACATATCTCTAGTTAGTATTTTGGAAAAGTTCTCCTAGATTTTAAAAACACAGAATGCTTAAGCCAGGCTTTCTTTACTCGTGTAACATTGTGCAGTTTGGGGGCCACACGCTCCAAACATCAGTCACTCTAGAGGCTGCGCAACAGTCTGCCTGCTCCACGCAGCCAGAAGACTTAGCCATTCCTTCTTGTCGCAGTTTTAGTTCCTCGAACTTTAAGATCCCGTTGCTGTATACAGTGACCTGTATCAGTACCACACAACAGAAAGCCACATGTGCAATTTAAAATTTCAGGAGTCCCACGCACAAGAGCAGAGAGGTGAGCTTAGTTTTAATAGTACACCAGCGTGTCTCAGCGCACACACCCAGCTGACGAGGAGTCAGTGTTTCCTGTGACAATTTCACATCCGATGGGGACGTGAGTGAGGAGGCAAGCAACGCCCACGAATGCAAACAGGCACGGAGTCCAAGGTGAAGAGCACAACTTTCGGGTCATTTTTCATTAAAACTTTGTGGTATTTTTAAGGGTTCAATGAAAAGTCGCCCATCCAAGCCTCAGGTGTCTGAAGCCCCCTTCTAAGCCAGCCATGCGGGATTCCTGGCCTCCCGCTCCGGCCAGTCCTGCCCGCCTTGGAGAGCGGTGTGCGCCCATCTTGCAGGTGTGCCAGCCCGGTGCCTCTGTGGGCACTGTTCACGGAGAGAGATGTCAGCGGCGCCCCACAACCGTCCCACATGACGAGGCGGTGAGGCGCCAGGCCACACAAACTCCGCCGACAACCCGGACAGGCGCCTGGACCAAGCGCCAGTGACCGGGAGGGCCCAGCAGAGTCAGCTGCGCCCGGCACCAGGTCTCCTTCCTGCAGAACCGCGGACTGCTCCGTGGCTCCAAGTGTTTTCAATTTCCTTTTCTCCTCCTCCTCTTCCTGGATGAAATCAACTCCTCTTCCTCCCTCAATGGCAGCAAAACTCATGGAGTGGTTCTGTACCTGTGACCCAACCACGAGAGCCGAGAGGGCGCTGAGCTCAGGAAGGAGCCTTTGTAATCCTCGCCGAAAAGCTGCTTGCTGGGCAGATCTGAGGGAAATAAGGGCCTATTCTACCCGGGCCAAAGTGACAATTCTTAAAAACATTTTAATACACCTGTGCGAGGAACTGGCTCTTCTTGGCCTACTGACCGCGGTTTCCTCCACCGCACCGTACTATGTGACACCCTCACGCTGGCTCACGCATCCCCTCGAGTATCGTGCTGCTCTTCACACTCAGTTCTGAGAGCCAACATCTCTGAAGCTACCGGCAGGACGTACTTCTCCAGTCCACTCTCGCACAGAGCTGCGCAGCTATTGCTGCTGTCCCTTTCGGGGAGAGGGTCACAGCACTGCTCTGGGTCCCACGCGCATCCTGCGTGACACCGGCCCTTTCCTGTCCAGAGGCCGATGGGGTGCTGCATCCAGACACCTTGCGAGCCCTGCAGGCTTCTGATATCTTTTTTTGTTTGTTTGTTTTTTGAGACAGGGTCTCACTGTGTAGTTGAGACTGTCCTGGAACTCACTATGTAGCCCAGGCTGGTCTCAAACTCACAGCGATCCACCTGCCTCAGCTTCTTGAGTGCTGGGATTACAGGCGTGCGCCACCACGCCTGGCTCCTCTGATATCTTTATGTGTGGTCAAATTCTGTGTCACAGCCAAAAATACTGTACCCATCTTGAGAAGCGAAACACAGGTGCTCCTGGATAGTCCGTACATGCCTGGCATATGTAATGTAAGAATCTGGGCTGTTCCTCTAAGATACCTTTAGAAAGACACTGACCCAATTGGTCCGGCACACTGGGAAGCTGTTCAGGGGTGGACACTTCTGTCAGGCTACTTCCCTCAGGGCGATTCCCATGGTGCCTTAACGCTGAGCATCGTCTTTCTCCTGGGAAAGCCAAACATCAGAAATTTAGGATTTTTGGTGCATCCTTCCATTGTGCTTGAAACGGTGGCCCTGTGAAATCCGTAATCCTCTCATTTTCCTCAGAAAGGGTCCTCAGCACTCTGAAGGACAACTGAAATTGGATTCTTCAGCCAAGGAAAATCCATGGGAGGCCACGGATGTATCCATTAATTATACTTTTGGTTCTCTTAATTTTTTTGGTTTCAAACAAGTGATGTGTACCTCGACTTTTAACACTATCATTCTGCTCCATGCTGTGATAAATGCAGGGAATGTTTACATTAAAAATGTATTACAGTAAAAGACACACTGTCATTCACTCCCCTCAGAATCCTCCCCATTTCCAACATCTATCCAATCACTACTGCCCCTTACTGAAGCAGTTCTGGGGGTCCCGGGACCACACAGATGCACACACACACACGCGCGCGTGTACACACACACTCACACAGTACTCACAGTCCCTATGATTCCACTCCTTTTACTTATTTTAATGAATATTCCTTTCACAAATTATTGAGCAAATTAATAGTCTAACCAATCTCTACTTCCTTCATATAAACTTAAAACTCCTACTTCTGCCTTATTCTGCTCTATTAACACAACGCTTATTCTCTAAGGTCACAAACTCTTAATCGCTTTCATTACTAAAAATTGTTCTAAGTCACAACCTCTGAGAAACTGAACGTTACATGTGGACGTCTAGGATGAAACCCTCAAGCTTCACCCTCGCGGCACTACGAAGGCTGATCCAGGCTGAAGGGACCAGGGATCCGAGGGTTTACTTAACTGTATCTAAACTGACTACTCTAGGTGGTGATGGCTCGGTCGTATAATAACGGGCCGGGGATGCAGCTCAGAGGCACTGCACCTGCCTCAAGCACAAGGTCCTGAGTTCGACTGCTGCGACCGGGAAAAAAAACAAAGGGTGCTAGTAGAGAAGTACTAATAGACTGAGGTTGACTGTTTGGAGAATATAGATAAAATAAGGTAGCACAAAAGGCATGCAAACATTTTTAAGTGCTTTCTAAGTTCAGGGCATTGTACTTGTTACTTTACAAGCTATGCTTCCATTTTCAAAACCACTCTGGGCTAAGCATCTCAAATATATAAAAAGGCATAAAAATTACTCATCGAGGGCCACATAACTAGTGAGATGAACCCAGGTGTGTCCGACCCACGATCACATCACCTTCCACTCAGCACGGCCATCGGAAGCCACTGGGTGCAAGCGCCAAAGGCACATGCCCGGGATGCTTCCAAGCAGACCTCCAGGCGGGAGCTAGAAGTAACGGTTCCCAGGAGCTTCTCAGGGCAGCAGAAGTAACTAGGAGCCTTTTAGTTGAAGGCTGGTCAAACTCCAAAAATCTGCATGCAGGACAAAAACTGACACTTGTCAAAGAATGTGCCTTGTGTTTAGGCCTGTTTCTTCTGTTACAGGCCGCAGCATGGGTTAGAACTTCACTCACTTTAACAGTAAGTGATAGTCCTCTGACGAAGACGTACATCTTGTGCAGCTACTCATCTGATAAACATGTATTGTCCCCACCTATTGCTTAGTGTGAAATGCTGAACCCAACGTGGTGGACAAATATCTGAGTCATAGTTTTCCGTTCTGAGCATGTATGAAGGGATGAAACTGGTCAGTCAATAATTCTATGTTTAAAGGTTTTCTGGTTTTGAGACAGGGTCTCACTGTGTAGTGCAGGCCGGCCTTGAACTCACAGAGATCCTCCTGCCTCAGCCATCTGAGTGCTGGGATTACAGGTGTGCGCCACCATGTCTGCTCTATGTTTAAAGGTTTTGAGAAACCACCAGTCTGTTTCCTTAGGAATGTAATGTATAAGGGTTCTAGTTTCTCCACACCTTCACCACATGTATTTTTCGTGATTTATTTAAATAGTCATCCTAGTAGGTGTACAGTGGTATCTCACTGTGGCTTTGATTTGCATTCCTTTAATGACTAATGATGTTCAAGATCTTTTAATGTACTCACTGGACATCTGCATCTCTTATTGAAGAAATATCTACCCAAGTCTTTGCCCGTTTTAAAAGCTGAGCTGTCTTTTCATTGTTGACTCTTAGAGTTCTCTAATATTCCAGATATTATCCCCTTAGACACATGACTTACCAATATTTTCTCCCATTCTGTGGGTTTTCACTTTTTTTTTTTTTTTTTTTTTTTTTTTTTTTTTTTTTGTTATTGGGGATTGAACTCTGGACCTTGTGCTTGGGAGGCAGGAGCAGTGCCACTGAGCTAAATCCCCGGCCCTCTTTTCACTTTCTTAATAGTATAATGTGAAGCATGAAAGTTTTTAATGTTGACCATACCCCAATGACTTTTCTTTTGTTGTCTGTTTCCAGTGATTTATCTAAGAATCAACTGCCAAATTCAAGTTCATGAAAATGTACCGCTGCACTTTCTTGTAAGAGCTTCATAAATGGTTTTGGCCTTTATTCCTAGCTCACTGATGTACTCTGAGCTGGTTTTCACACGTGCTGGGACCGAGGTATACAGCTTGCACCTCAGTCTGTAGAAAGCCTGCCGCTCAGCAGGATCACTGCAGCCTGTTCTTCCCCATTGAATGGACTTGGCATCCTTGTCAAAAACCAGATGGCCACAGATCCATGAGTTTATTTACTTTACTTTTTTGACACAGGATCTCAATGACTTGAACTCATTATGCAGCCCAGGCTGGCCTTGAACCTACAGTGATCCTCCTGCCTCAGCCTCCTGACTGCTGAGATTACAGGTGTGCACCACCACGCCTGGCTTACCATTTTCTGTATTCTCAGTTCTATCCCATTTCTGTATACGGCTCCTCTTACACCAGAACTGTTTTGGTCATTGTAAATTGGTGGTAAGCTTGAAAACTTGGTAGTAAGTGTTAGTTCTCTGACTTCTTCCCCTTTACGCTATTTCACAAGTTTGGAATCTCTTGCAGCTTGTGTAAATTTGAGGATGGGCTTTTCCATGTTTGTCTAATTTTTATTTTATTTTATTTTATTTATTGATTTTCCAATACTGGGAATGAAACTCAGGATCTTGCACTTGCTAGACAGGCACCCTGGCTTTTTCATTTCTGTAAAAAATACTACTGAATCATTCTGTACATCCCAATGGGGACTGCACTGAATGTGTAGCTGCTTTGCAGCGGTAGTATCAACACCTTAACAATATTAACTCTTCTTGCCTATGAATACAGGAGGTCTGTCTTTCCACTTATTTATATGTTCTTTAATTTCTTTCACCAGTGCTTTGTACTCTTCAGGGTGTAAGTTTTCCTCAGGTATTCTATTTTCACTGCTCCCTTAATTATCTGTGCAATTAGTCATTACAGGTGAATAGAAACATTTTTCTGTGTTGTTCTTGCAATCTGCAGTATTGCTGAAATTGTTTATTAGCTCTTCTGTCTTCTGTAAAAAAGATCACTTTAATTCTTTGTAATTAAAATTCCCCTCTCTCTTTCACTGGACTCGGGCTGGAATTTCCAGCCTAACACTGAACACCAGTGTTGAAAGTAGGTGTCTGTCCTGTCCTTGATCCCTGGAGGGAAACTTTCAGTCTTCTACAGCAAAACTTTTTAACAGTTAAAATAAGTCTGTTTGAAATACCGACTTGCCTCTTAGTCGTGGCTCACTTATAGAATAGAAACATATTTATCTTAAGTTTTGATGAAATTCTCAACTAGCTTGGCATGGTGGCTCATGCCCTTAATTCTAGCACTCAGGAGGCTGAGGCAGGAAGACTGCCATGATTTCAAGGCCAGCCTGGACTATACAGTGAGATCCTGTCTCAAAAACCCTTAAGAAAATTCTCAACTAAATTACTCCTAGAGACCTATATTTAAGCAGTGAATTAAGTAAATGCCCTTGTTACTTGATTAAATCCTTAAAATACAATAAAGCTGGGTATGGAGGCACACAGCTGGATCCCAGGGATGGCAAGATCGAGGCCAGCCTGGGCAACTTGTGCAGAGGACGCAGACCGGTGGCAGACTGCTTGAGGGTTAAGTCCCCAGTATCAACAAAAAAAAGTCATTCTTCTATGTACAAGTGAATAAACCAATGATTAAAAGTACGCCCTGTACAATGGAAAGGATCCTTGTGCTACTGGACATGTTCTGTGGCTTGACTGTGACAGTGGATTCAACAGCTTACGTATGTGATAAACTGTACAGCACGCACACGACGGGTAAGGAGGCCCGAGATGAACGGTGTGCGGTGTCAGTGCCAACTTCCTGGCTGTGAATTTGACCACAGTTTTGAAGATGTCAGGCTGGGAGAGGGTTCACGTGGCCTCTGTTTTACTGCTCACAACAGTGTGTCAGTTATCTGAGCATAAAAAGTTGAAAATAACCCTTCTAGGAGTCACAATACTACCTGAGCGTGCATGTGCATGTGTGTGTGCGCACGGTGCTGGAGACGGGATCAGGGCCTCGCACACACGAGGCGCATCCTTCCCCGCCAGTGCCACCCTTCACAGGGCACCCTTTCATCTGAAGAGGACGACCCTACCGAAGTCCCTGCGGACGCCGCCATCCAGGCTCTCCCGACCCAGCGGCTCTGCCGTTCAGGACTGGTTTCTCCCACCCTGAGCGGCTGGTGTGGGCTCACCTCCTGCCTTACCATGTCAGAGGGGCTGCCTGGAAGTGGGCACTCCCTCCTTTTTTCCATGCCTCTCAAGTACATGATATTTTGCATAAAAGAAGTTAGATTATTTATTGCCAAATCAACACAAAATGTTATGTTCATTTAAAGCTAATCTAGTTAAATGGAAGTCCAGCCTAATTTTGGATTTTTAAAAATTTAAGCCTTTAAGAGTAGTTATCCAAATAATAAAAGAAATCTAAAGAAAAGGGAAAAAATTTTGTTGCTATACTAAAAATGGCTCTTTGACAAGGACCAGGTAATTTTATAAAAAATGGAAAAATAAATGTATAACTTTTATACATTTAAAAATATTTCCACTCACAATTTCAGCACTAAGTCACAGACTGATATATATAAATAACTGAGATCTTTAGACACAAATCTTGAGAGAAATTAACAAACAGACAAACCATACGTGACCCTCAACAGAGGTACTTGATCTTCCCGTGGCTGGAAGCAAATCACCATGGGAACTACTGTGCTGTTTAAAAACCTGAGCATTATGCAAACTGATGGGCTCAGAAAAAAGCAAAAGGAAAACTATAAAAAGGAAGAGGTTAGCACAGCTCCCTGGGAGGAAACAACAAGTTTGGCTTGCTTACACGGTGCTGCTTTAGCCTAAAGGCCTTTCCCCCTTCATGACAACACTTACTTCTGAGTTTGCTGGACTTTACACGCCGCATCAGAAACCAACTATTTAGCAGACGTCTGTGTTCAAATTCAAGATTCTCTGTGATTCCTAACTGCTGCTCGCTGTTAGTATTACTAGACAATTTGAATTTTTCACTATGAGATATGTTGCCTATTAATAAAAACTAAGTTAAAAAAAACTGCTTTCCCTTTAATGCATGGTTGAAATCAGTCTCACTGAGAAAATGGGAGCTTTGCTTAGAGGAAGGAGAGAGGGATACAGGAAACAGATCCGAGGGTGAGGAAGACTGGGGAGAAGAGGCGCCTAAAGCCGGCAGAGGAGTAAGGCCAGGAGCAGGAGCTGCCAGTCTCCCCACACAGGACGGCGCTTTAAACGGCTTCAGCTTCCGCCTCTCAGCAGACCCACCCGGACCAGCCCCACAGTTCAGTTCCACTAGGAAGAGACTTGCAACCTGGCCTGGGTTAGAAGCACAGATTCCAACACCACGTGTAAGAAAGCGTGCCTGGGTCCACAAGAAAGGTGCAGACAACAGTTCAGCAGGACCCACTCCGAAGGTGAGAGTGGCTTCTTAAAGCACAGTGACCCCAAGCTCAGCGTAGGAGCCTCTCGTCTCCACCGTGAGCTTGGCACGCAGAGAGGCGTTGAGCCGGGCAGCTGACGCAGAGCAACCTGGAAAACGCCCAGTGCTGCCACACCCGCCCTCCAGGACCCTCCGCGGCTCAGCAACTAGCCTCGTGGGCCAGGAGGACGGCTGCTGAATGTCGGGCTGCACCCAGGCCACCATGCGCACCGTTCCCTCAACCATCCACGCCTTTCTTAGTCCAGGTCGTGAGACGCAAACACTGCAAGGAAGTTCTCTGCTTCTTTAAGAAAGAAAACTTTAGCTCAGGCTTTAACTGCTACAGGTAAATGATCTCCCTCTCCTTCCATCCCCCTTTTTTTCTGGTGGTCCTAGGGATGGAACCCAGGTAGCGCTGTATTTAGTTTTGGTACCAAGGATTGAACTCAGGACCCTGCACTTGCAAGGCAGGCGAGGCGCCACTGAACTACATCCCCAGCCCTTTATTTCTGAGAAGAGATCTATCTCACTAAGCTGCCGAGTATGACCTCAAATTTTCCATCCTCCCACGTTGCTGGCATTAGGAGTGTGAGCCACCAGCCTAGCTAAATGATTTTGATTAAATGATCACTTTAACAAGCCCAGCCCTCTCCTTGCAAGGCAGGTGTATACAATTCCAAAACACAAACTTACTCATCGTCCTGCGGTGGACATTCCTTTCTTTCTGCCACGCTGAGGTGATCCAATTGTTTTCTCTTTTCTATATGTATGTAATAAAGAAAAGAACATGAGGTTAAGACAGAATGGAATTGTTACATTCATATAGAAAATAAAAAGGTGGACGGATGAAGAGGAGGTGGGAAAGTGTCCCGTTTTGGTTTTTCAGTGCCTGTGCAACTGAGATCTGAGCCCCTCCCTGCGCATTAGGTGTCCTGTGCGAGGCTGCACAGGCCGGGGCTCAGGGCTCAGCGCACTGATGGAGCAGTGCTCACACCCCATGCGGCCCGACCCTTTCTGCAGTCCTAACTCGTCTAGCTGTCACAGTAAGGCCACAGCCATGCGGGCGCGATTGTGTAACCCTGAGTATGTGCCTGGTGGCAGGGCTGTGGGATCACACCGTAGTCCTCTATTTCACCCTGAGTGCTGTTTAGGAAGGCTTTGGAAAGATCTTTAAAACCCAGCCTGAAACTCTGAAATCCAAAATGCCCAAGTCTGAAACTGAGTATAGACTTTTCAGCTTTTAGGGATGTTCAACTGGTAAAATCTGTGCACAGACCCCCAAATCCAAATGACTGAAACACATCTGGTCCTGGGCATCTCAGATAAAGGGTCTGAAATCTGTAAACTGTATAATTTGTTAAAAGAATTTACTAGTAAGATGTCACACAGTCGCTGAGGGACACAGCTAGCTAACCGTTCCCGAGTCACATGCATTAGCCGAGGCACAGGTGAAGACATGGGAGGAAACTGAGTTACGACAGAGTGGTCCAAGCTCTCAGGGCACGAGAGCAGCTGCCTATGAGCAGACGCCTTAGTGCTGGCTCCAGGCGCCTATGGAGCTTCCCCCGCGGCGTGACCGTGAATGAGACCAATGTGCAGGGAGCAGGGATCTGAGGGCCCACACGGATCAGATCTCCAGTGTCAGATATGTGCTGGTTTAATGGAACGAATAACCCAGACCGCTAAAGAAACCAGTCAAGAGGAATAACTTTTTTATTTAACTTTAATTTAACTTTTTAATTTAAAAAAAAAATTTTTTTTTTTGGTACCGGGGGGGACTGAACTCAGGCCCTTGCACTTGTGAGGCATGTGGCAGAACCACTGAGCCAAATCTCCGGCCCAGGAATAACTTTTTAAATGTATAAATGGTGACATCTCTCACCCTCATAGTACACATTTTTATGTGATATAGTTCCTTTGTTCAGTAGTTGCCACTGGAATTACTATTAACTCAATGTTACTGTTTTATTAAAACCTCCTTACCACCACGTACCATGAAAACTCTGGCCCATACTCTCCAACAGAAATACAATGCAAGCCATTTAGGTAAGTTTAAATTTTCTGGTAGTGAAATTTTAAAAAGAAAAAATAGGTGAAATAAATTTTAATATTTTACTTAACCCAATATAGCTAAGAATTTAACATTAATCAATAGAAGGGCTGAGGATGTGGCTCTGTGGCACCATGCCTGCCTGGCAAGCACAAGGTCCTGAGTTCATCCCTGGTACCAGAAAAAAAAAAAATTACAGAAGTAACACCAACCAATGTAAAATTAGTAATGAAACAATTTATGTGTTTTCCACATTCAGCCTTTGAAATCTGGTGCACATTTCACACACATAGGGTATTTCAGTTCAGACCAGTGACTTTCCAAATGCTACAAAGTCATGTGTACTGGACGGCAGAACTCTAGGTCAGCGACAGCAAACCTTTTAGAACTTTCAATGGTAACGAACTGCAGCAACACCACGCAGGCCAGAGGTTTGCCTCCAGTGCTCCAGACAATGCTGCAGGAGGATCCAATCCTTCCAGATGGAAAGAAAATACTAATAATCCGATGGCCACTTTTTCAACTGTAATTTATTAACATACTAAGAATTCTTGTCCAGAATAGACCTTCTAATACTGGTTTACATTTTTTCCTCCATAGTTTTTGTTCTATTACTCTCCCCTGGGGCCAGGGATTTAGCTCAGTGGTTCTGCCATCTGCTTTGTAAGTTCAAGTTCCCAAGATCGATCCCCAGTACCAAAAAAACACCAAAAAAAAAAACCCAATAAAAACAGTCATACATATCTCTCACTTTGCAGAGTGTAAATCAGTAACATTAATCTTATAAGTTCTCATAAGAAGGACTATGTTTTTAAATACTTTTTAATTGCTAAAGAGGAATTTTTAATATATCTTGGCAGAACATGTGGGTCAGTTATCAGAGATGGCTGAGTAGTATGTTAGTAAAAATTTTCTAGTTAAATTACTTTATTTATGGTAATGCAGGCCTGGAATCTCAGCACTCAGGAGGCTGAGGCAGGAGGATCGCAGTGAGTTCAAGGCCAGCCTGAACTACATAACGAGACTCTGTCTCAAAAACAAAATTACTTCATTTCATTTAAAAATACTTAAAAATAATTACCATGTCCTCAAGGACTGCCATGTCTACATGTATTTTTCTTGCTGGGTTACATATACAAGCCAACAAATAGTTGTGTACTTGATTCTCTATAAGTGCAGTTTCACAACACTCACAAATGCACCCTCACAGGAACTTGAACTCATTCAGCACTGCATCTGAAGTTTCTGGTCAGCGTTCAGGGACCCATTTCTCTAAACTAATGAAGAGAGTTTTCAGCAGGGCCTGAGGTTTGGAGGTAGAATTAATGACCATGAGGCCACCATGGCTGACACACAGGACTTGTTAGGGGCAGGCACATGTGACAGCCAATCTGCAGTTGCTCTGAGCAGTCCTTCTTAGTGCATTTCCCATATGAGCAACAGGCACAGGTCGCTGAGGCCTGTCTAAGTCCATACAGCTGCACAGGGGCAGTCAGGACGGAAGCCCAGCCACGGACTGCAATGACCGCTCTTCACAGTGACGTGGGGCCTGCTTGTTCATATATCACTGTATCAGCCTGAAGTTCCAACTCAGCTAAGCCGGTGTGTTATGTCCTTGTAACGCAACATTACTTCTCAGCTGGCAAACACCACAGGCATTACTTTGGTCCAAATAAAAGGCTAAGAGTCAAGGAAAACCTTGACCCACACAGCTCCAGGGATCTGTCTAGGGTGGTACTTACAAGTTCTTAACAGTTTTCTAAGAATTACTTGTAGGGCAAATTGGGGCCTGCAGGCTAAAAGGTGAATGGAATCCCAGCATAATGCCGCTCTTTTTATTTTTTAATTAATTAATTAATTAATCAATTTTGGGGATACTGGGGATTGAACTCGGGACCTTGCGCTTGCAAGGCAGGTGGCAAGTGGCAGAACCACTGAGCTAAATCTCCAGCTACTCTTCTTTTAATTAACCAAATTAACATTATTAAATGGGAGTAGAAGAACTTCTTTAGAGGTTTAATTTATAAAAAATTAAGAACATTAATGTTCTATTTTTATTCAAAATTAAAATACCATGAAGTTCCATGGGAAGAAATGCAACAGTCTCACGTATCGCCTACGTTATTCAACAGAAAGCTCGCTGCCAATAAGAAAGGGAGAACTGGGCCAGGGATGTGGCTCAGTGGTTCCACCGCCAGCCTCGGAAGCACAAGGACCCGAATTCAAAGAAAGAAAGGGAGAACTGCTTTTCATCTACTAAAATATTAGTATTTGAGAAACAACAACACAAATGGAAGAGCTACAATGTTTTACTCCAATTAGATTGTAAGCCACCTTAGAAAGCATTTAGCACACAAATTATTTCAAATGAATGAAACAGTTTCACACACACTTCTTCTTTTTTGGGGGGCGGGTACCGGGGATTGAACTCGGGTCCTTGCGCTTGCAAGGCAGGCCACCGAACCGCTGAGCTGAATTCCCGGCCCTTCACACACACTTCTGTTCTTTCTCTCACGTGGAAAAAAAATTAGTCTTGCCAGAGACTTACCATTTTATTGGACTTTTCAAAAACCAGCTTTTCATTTAATTGCTTTATTTAGTTTTAATTTGATTTCTATTCATATTACTGTTTCCTTTCTTCTAATTCATTATTTTTAAAAATCTTTCCCAGATTAATGCTGAGTCCCTTAGTCATTCTCTTTTTAAATATGTACATTTATAAATACAAATTTTCCTCAAAGACATATACTGTATAATTTAGGCATAATTTTTCTTATAAGTGCTGACATGTTTTCATTATTGTTCCATTTAAAATATTTTACATTTGCCATTATGATTTTTTCTGATTCATTATTTAGACATATCTTGGTACCCAACATGGGCTAAAAGGCTACCTTTTCACACTGATCCCTAACCGTAAGACTTGGGTTTGGCATGCCAGCAGTTTAGGTGTGGGAGGCGCTGCCTGTGACTTGGGTGTGCTCCTGCAGCGCCCTCAATAGGGTTAGGTAACGCATCTGTCCTACTCCTCAGAACTAAGCTTTCTATGCTTTGCTGGTTTCTGAGAGAGGTAGTCTGTGATTAAAGATTTATCCGTTTCTCTTTTTCACACTGTACATTCCATCATGCGTCACTAGAGTTTTTGTTTTAGAGCACATATACCCTGAGGTTCTTTTATTTTTTTGTGTGTGATGACTTTTTTCCCTCTTATATAATAATGATCTCTGTATCTTTAGTAAAGCCTTTTTGTCTTAATATCTATTTGGGCCTATATTAATATTCTTATATCAACTGCTACATTTTTTAAAAAAAGCTAATATTCACGCTGTTTTCTTTTTCTATTCCTGTTCAACCGTCCTATGTCTTTTCTCAGTCTAAATAATAATGGTATTAATAAAAATAGTCAAAATATATATGGAACATCTGCTATCTGAAAGGTGATTGTTCTGGGTGCTTTTGTTTTGTTTTGTTTTGTTTTTTTTGGTACCGGGGATGGAACTTGGGTCCCTGCGCTTGCAAGGCAGGCGGCAGAACCACTGAGATAAATCCCTGGCCCCTGAGTGCTTTTGTGTATTAAATCATTTAATACGCCCAAGAATTCTGAGGTAGGCGTTACCATTTCTCCCCTTTTATGAGCAAACAAAAACAATCAGAAATTGATACATACCCCATCATTTGCCTATAACCAGAGACATGTAGACACGAAATGCCTACAAATGGTGCGATTTAGTCCAGGATCCACTGTCCTGTTTAGACTCCTACATGGGGACATACATGTGACAGAGGACACAAAACATGCAAGGGCAGTCGAATGAATGACCAGAGTGAGTCAGCTCCTGTAATCACCACAGAGGCCAAAAGAGAGGGTACCACCCACACCTCACACACCCTTGCTGACTTTTTTAAAAAAAGAGCTTATTTAGTACTATAATTTGTGATAATTACCCACTTAAATGTCAACTGAAACCATATGACCGATCTTTTATGGGCAAAAAGAATGTTCCCTTAAATCCATATTTAATTTCAATATGGAAATTGAGTCCCTATCAACTTAAAAGTGTAGTCACATTTTGGTTTAAAGATAAACAATCTCTATGCCATTAACTTTTAATTAAAAAAGATATTTCAGGTATTTAAAATACAGAACTCCAGAACTTGAGGAAAATATATATTTTATAATTTTTGTGAAAACAAACCTAATAGTATTAGCTTTAAGATAAAAGCATGTGATGAAGTTAAATCAAAGATTTCACAAGATCTCATTCTGTGTCATTTTAACAACTTAGGTAAAATGAAGAGGCTTCTTTCTGTGTTCATTCTAGTATATGCTGTCTTGAGGAAGATTAAACAATAAGATGAATCAGGCTAATTACAGCTCATCTAAAATACCTTGTATCAAATGTGAGCCCATTTAAGGTCTTCTATTATAGACACTGATGTGTTACTGATTCATGACCTTAGTCAGTATGAAAAAATGAAATCTATGTAATTGAGATCTATACTTTTAAATAAACATTTTAGCAATAAGCTACCAGACAGAAACAAATACATATGGTCAAAATTCATCTTTTAAAATAAAGATTTCACATTAAGTTTTTCTCTGCAGAGAATTGTACAAACCTTTTGCAAATGCATTTGAAATAGATGAAAAAGGGAGTGAAATACAACAAATAAAGGCAAAGCGTAAACGTACACATGTGGCGTGGAGAACACTGGGTGCACAACATGGACAGAACAGCACCTGAAGCACCCACCGCAGCGGGCCGTGCCTGGGTTATGTGCCCTCTAACAGGTGCGCATGATGGACAGCTGCACAGGGTGGGCCTGTGGCCATTAGAATTGATAGGAGCTAAAGGCAGTGGGCCATAATTTCTTCTTAATGGATGGGAAAGTAAGGGGACAAAGTCTGTGGCAGCATGTTAAAATAAGTGCTACAAAGTTTACATTTCTGTACAAAGTACTACCTACGTTCTAGCCATTTCTATGTCAAATTTTTTAAAAGACAAATCAGCTGCAGCAAGATCCATATCTTACTAAATCAAAATCCTGATTTAACCAATCACTAAAAAAATCTTACTATAAGTGGAAGAGAATGTTCAACTAACCGTTTGATGGTCTATTTCTATGCTTCTGTTTTTTAGAGCTTGTGGGGGAAGAAAACGGGCTCATCTGACGGGTTCCAGTTGTTGGAGAGTAAGTTGTAATACTTCTCTTCCTTGTGATTTTTGAAGGACCAAATGACTGGAAATAAATAATAATTTGAAGCAGAAATATGTTTAGCTGTATTATATGTCTTTGAAAATACCTTTAAAAACTCAGCAAAATTCAGACCAATACTGGTTTCCTTACCTTTCCTTTTCAGATTTCAAATATATGCAATCATCACCTTCAAAATGAACACTGTTCTTTCAAATCAATTGCACAGTTCAGTCTCCAGAATAACTAGGGCACCTCAGCTTGGTATTTCGGACGTTTTAACCCTCTGAGAGGATATTTCCCAAGGGTTAGAGATGACTGGCTCTTGTGAGCGATCCTTACCTTTCGCTTCAGATCAACATGGAATATGATTATGGGGCCCAGCCAGGAAGAGCTCTCAGGGCGTTTATCATGAAGACCCAGGAGGAAACCCAGGAAGACCAGACCTGTACTAACCCTTCAGCACAGTTCTCTGATGCAGTGCTCTGCCTTAACTATAACCAAGGCAATGTGCAAGCCACAGAGCCTGGGCTGAAGGCCCTGAGCTCAGGGTCCAAGCCCAGGCCCCAGCCACATGGTTTTCTGCAGCCTTCTGTGCTGAGCTCCTGAGATGCTCACGCCCCACTTACTGTGGATAACACATTCCGGTAACCCTTCACATTCCTGTTTACCCATCAGAACTTGCTTCTGAAAGTAGTATGACTCTTTTCATCTTTGTACCCTTAGAGGACTAAAAAGTGTTTACAGAATGAATGTTTTAAAAGGAACAGTTCAGTAAACTCAGCCGGGTCGCTCATCTGCACACTGTTCACTCACCCAGTACTCACTGGCGCCTCGGCCTCAGTCAAAGGCCATGCACAGCATGTGTACCTCAGACACCCTGTGGTCTCAGCTTGTAAAGTTCTGTCCCTTACCTTCCCCCAAGGCCGATTTTTCCTTAGTTTAGGTCTCCATTCATGACCTACTGACTCCAAACATTCGTCAGCACATTAGTAATTGTCTGTTTTCCCAAATTCTCCTAAAACTCGCTTTCCATAATGATTACTGATCACTAATGAACTGCTAACTAATGCACATAAAGAAATATAACCAATTACTGCAGCCTGCAGAAATGAGGTCTTAGTGTATGTGCTGTGGAAATTCAGAAAAGAATGAAAATCAAAGTAGACTCACAGAAGTATTCTTGTGAGAGGGAAGGCTAGGCTTAGGCAAAGCATAAATACAAAGGGCAGGAAAACACTAAATCCAGAGGCGAAACAGACACAGGATTAATGGGAGGGACACGGGGAAGGTCTGGAGGCTCATATGCTGCCAACACGGCAAACTAAACTTCAGCTTGGGTGCTTGAAATAATTCTCTGTGGTCAACTATCCCTTACTGTACAGTGACTGTCACCCTTTTTCGGTAATCTTGCTATTAGTTTCAGAATTTATAGTATCAAAAAAAATTTTATAGCTAAGATTTTAGATGATAAACTTTTTTGTTGTTTTGGAGAAAACACATTTCTTTCCTTACATATACACAATAGCCACAATGTAACTGGAATCTTAAAAAAAATCAAAGTGTAATACCAAGTTATAACTCTAAAGCAATCTTCTCACAGGGTGAAAGGGTTTTAAGTCTCTATCAGGTGTTACTGTGACCTCTCCATCTTGAGTTTCCACCTGTTTATATGCATTCAGTCACAAACTGTGACATTTATCCAATCCTATTCTACTTTTCCAAGAATTTATTGCCCAGAACTATTTCACTGTGTATTTACAAGAAATGGAAGTCACTACCCTAATGTACACTGATGTCAATTTGTTTTCCTATTTTCACCAAAAAATTATTTTATCCAATTGCCAAATGTCTAAACATTACAACTGTAGATAATAATTTCTTCTTGAAAACAATTTTCTGGCCTTCAGAAAATTGTGTGTGAGTGCACGTGTGCGTGCTCACTTTAAAAATAGTCTTTTTTTGGTCCTCCTATTGGTTAAAATTACACAATGTGTCTACAACTACTGCGGGAAGGAAAACTGAAAATCCACCTTCCCTCCTCTCCCACCAATGGAGGTGTTTTTACTTGTTTGCCCTCCAGACATACACCAATGAGCCATCTCACTGCCCTAAGATTCCTCTCCCCCCAGGGTTTTTTTTTTTGTTTTGTTTTGTTTTTTTTTACTTTTTAATTACTTTTATTGGTACATTTAAGGTATACAATACAATGACATTCATCATTGGAAATTTGTACCTTTACATAGTCCACCTTATTTTTTAAATCATAAGTTTTTTTTGTTTTGTTTTGTTTTTCTTTTTGGTGATGGGGATCAAATTCAGAGCCTTGGGTTTGTGAGGCAGGCATGGTACCACTGAGCTACACCCCTGGCCTCCCTGCAGGCTTCACGAAGGTCCTCTGGCTCCTCATCCCTGAGCACGCTTGGGCCTGGACCTCACCTAGGAGCTTCACGTCCTCTCACCTCACAGGGCTTGGCTTACTGTCAGTCTCCCACAAACGGAAGCACTAAGAAGCCTGTGACCTGAGGAAGGTCGCCCTTTCCAGCAACACCCCTACCAGACCCGAAAGAAAAGGCCAGCAGCACAGACCAGGATAGAAAAGGAAAAGGAAATAGGATGCCAATAAATGCAGGGTAACATGCCTTGACCACCTGTGTAATAATTCACAGGCTCCTCTAACATTTACTGACTCCACAAGAGATGTGTGACACCACCACTAAACCAAAAAATTTTGCACCTTAGAGCCAGTCCATGGTCAGCCCAAATGCCACTGTTCTTGTGAAGAGGTCAAACCTTGCACATTAGCAAAACTAAAATTTGGGCATTGATTTTCTGCCTTAGAAAAAAATCAATGCTGTCTCTATAATTTCAAATAGAAATGACGTTCTCCTTCAGTATCCTTCACAAATTGTAGCTTGCCTTGTCACCTTGTTTAGAACATACTCTACCAAAGAGGTGCCTGCATTTCATTGATTTTTTACCGACTATAAACAGTCTAGAAAGTACTAACTAAGGGTTCTTTTGTGGATGACTTATGGGATACAAAGAATCTGCTGTTACTATGAACTGCTATCCTACGCTGTCACTGAAATATTTAAAAGAGGTACTGTAGGTATCTGGATGATCAGAAAGGAAAGGGCAGCTAAAGAGAGGTTACTTCTTAATAACCTTATGCGGCTATTCAGGTGACTAGAATACTCACTTAAAACTATGGAATCCTTACTAGAAAACTAAGCAGCAACTGTGCTAGGCATTTTTCATGTTCTGGGTCTAGGGCAGTGATGGCAAACCTTTCAGAGAGGAGCACCCAAACTATACCCCAAACCCTCCTATTTATCACAAAGCGCCAACACTGCAATTAAACCCCAACACTGATTTTTTTGTTTACAAAAAACAACTAATACATTAACATCTTTTATCTTAAAACAGTACACAACAAAACAACACGCGAGCCATAAGTTCGCCACCACCAGTCTAGGGTTACTGGAAGAGTAACAGATACCAACTAACTTATTCTACAAATAGGGGGCTTTCTTGCTATTTTTATGGCAGCTATAGAGAACAAATCACTTTGTGTCTATCTCCGTGATCTCACAGGAACAGGAGGGAAAGAGTATGACCAATGTACTAAATCTGTGGTAATAGAAACATTCTATTTCTTGAAGGTATTTGATACACAAAATTATACATCTGCTAAAACTCACTGTACCCTCAAGATCTGTGAATTTAATAACATATAGTTTATCTTAAATTTTTTAACAGAATAAAACTGGCTAAAATCATTTATACATCACTTTTTCTACTTGTACTCATTATTATTCTGTAATTTCAGATAGTAAATATTAAGTCAACTTTTTTTGTTAGTACCTTGCACTTGTCAAGAAGACTCCTGTAAACAAGAAGTTTTTTTTTTTTTTTGGTACCAGGGATCGAACTTGGGTCCTTGTGCTTTCGAGGCAGGTGGTGGAACCACTGAGCTAAATCCCTGGCCCAAGAAGTTTTTATGAGATACTTCCATGGCAGTTTGCCAGCAGGTTTTCAAATAACCTTTTATTTTTCAGAATATGAATTCCATCCCGATATATTCTTGTTTACTTTTCTGAAGTGTCATTTACATAAAAGGCACAGACCTTGCTTCGCTTTGCGCCCCACCCACTTTGCGCAGGGATGCAGCACCTCTGGTGAGGGGCGCCATTCAGATCCCCCGCAGGGCTCCCGCTCCCCGCTCCGTCCCCTTTCCTCACCCAGCACCACGCACACTTCCGTCTACCCCGAACTTCACACAGCCACACACACAACTTTTGCGCCAGGTTTCGCCTGCTTAACTTGCTTTGAGATGATTTATGGTACTGTATCAGCAGCGTGCTGTTTGACTATTGAGTAGCGTTCCTTTGTTGGAATGTACATTACCAGAATCTGCTTTTCCATTTTCTTGTTGATGACCATGGAGGTTGTTTTTCGAGTGTTGGACTACTATGAATTAAGTTGCTAAACATTCTTGTGCAAGTATTTTTTGTGCACATATGATTCTCCTCACTGGGGTATCTAGGAATAGAATTACTACAGTAGGCTACAAGACAGAGAGAGGTTTAACTTTATATAAAGGATTCTTCAAAATGTTTACATCACTCAAAGCCCCATCTAAGAAAGTGTGAATTGTTCTATGTTCTCACTAATGTTCAGGGTTTTTGTTTGCTTTAGCCATGTTAGTAGGTGTTAAAAGCCAAAACAAAACAAAACACTTTGTTTTAATTCATTAGGTTTTCTAGTCAGTGGAAATAGTAGTATTTCTTTTAATTCCTATTTCTGATGATTAATAACACTGAACATTTTTTCTTGTGCTAACTGTCCATTTATGTATTTTCTTTTGTGAAATACCTGATTTTGCACTTTTACTGGATTATATTTATTCTCAATTATATATTCCAGACATCATTTTTGTCAGATAGATGCATTATAAATATTTTCTTCTCTACCCATGGCTCACCTATTAATTTTTTAGTGGTCTTTTATGAGCAGAAAATTGAAATTTTGATGAAGTATAGTTTATCAACTTTTATGGTTGGGATTTTTTTGTGTCTTAGGAATTTTTGTCTACTGTAAGGTTAAAAGAGTTTCATGACAGTTTCTTCTGTTTTCCTCCAGAAGCTTTAGGCTTTTGGCTTTAAGACTAATTATTCCTGGATGGATTATTAAATATGAAATGAGATATGAAGTAAATGAATTTTGTGTATTAAGTGAAGTTAATGTTTCTCCATGTGGATAGCACTTAGTAGTTTTTTCCCCTATTGAACTGATCCAATGTTCAAAATGTTTCACAAAGTTAAATACTATTAAAGATAATATAAACCAACACTAATACTAAAAATCAAATTTTCCACAGGGAATGGAGATTCAGGCTGTATTTAACACATTCCCACCAGACGGCACTGCCCCATGGTGCCCAGTGCACTGGTGGGTCAAGCTGCCAGGCAGCAAGACATATGAATGACAGTGCAAAACAACTACAAAAAGGCGCATGGAGGGGGCACACGGACAGAGCACTAGTGTGAGGCAGCCTCCTGGATCCCTGCAGTGGCTTGCGGCTCCCAGCCATGCTGTCAGGGGCAAATCTCAGTTCCCTCACTTCCCCAGCAGGGTGGAGAAAGTGGGACGGGGTACACAGGGCATCTGGCGGGGCCGTGATCGTGGGGAAGATCCATGGCATCACACGCTCTGCCCTCTGGGCTGGGGCAGAGGAGGAGGCAAAAAATTCCATCCATGTTATTTCCCACACAAATGAGGGCGTTGTGGAAAATATCCCTGAACCTTGCACTCCAAGGCTCCAGCTCTGGAAAGTGTCCCGGGTGAGGAAGTGAAGCTGTTTTCCTTCTCAGGAAGAGCAGATAATAGTATTTCCTAACCAGCATGAGACTGACATAAAACCAGACTGATGGACCCAGCCCTCGAGCAACTGCATTCTTCCACGAGGGCAGGCCTGTCTGTCTCCTTGTGACCACTCAGGACAGTGAGCTGAGGACGTGACGACTGTCAAAGGGGTGCTGCAGATCTGCGGCTCCTAAGTTCACTCCCACTCCATTCCAGGCTGCCATCCACTCCTTTGGATAACTCAGTTCCCCTTTCTTCAGGAGGACAAATGTTCTAACATGCAAATGCTAACCCTGAGCGCTTTAACTTTTTTCTTAATATATTTTAGTTTTGTGTATTTCAATGTATTAGATATTTTTGTATATTCTAATATACTTAATATATCTTCTAATGATCCTCAGGTACTGTGTGCTCAGGTACAGCAGCCCCACATCTACCTGGCAGCAGTACATTTGTTATCACTTTATCATCAGAAAGAACTATGTGGAGTACACAGTGTAGTAAGCTACTGCATGATGCCAGTAAGAGCTGGCTTTTCTTTTTTCTTTTTTTGGGTACCAGGAATCCAACTCGGGTCCTTGTACTTGCAAGGCAGGCAGCCGAACTGCTGAGCTAAATCCCCGGCCCCAGAGCTGGCTTCTCTATGAATGTCCTTCACGAAACTCCTCCTGCTGGACAACGATTTATGAGAGACTTGGATCGGGTCAGCTGGCTCCATGACTTACTTGATCTGCTTATCCCAGAAGCCTAGAGATGGTACAGAAAGGGCTGAGCCTGGGCTGGGAGAAGCAGGCAGGGTTAGGTAAGCTCATCTACACACATGCTGAAGGGTTCCTATTCCAATTCTGGAGTACAGGAGTTGCTGCATATGCTAGGTCCATCCTTCACTGAGACTATACTAGGACTATCAGGCACCATGTATGCATGTGAGAGTGTGTGTGTGTGTGTGAAAACCTGAGTTGATAACTGCAGGGTTCCAGAAGTAGAGTGGAAGGTAAAGGAAGTACTGTACCCTACAGCAAATCAACCATCAAATAAACACACCCCAGGGGTAGGGTCCCTGAAGCACCCCTCTGTGCCACCCAGAAATGCATGTATACAGTAAGAACTGAAGTCCTTACCCTTTCACATATCTGGCTTTTGGCTCCTACAAAAGCCCATTAATGAATGTTTTCTGTAGTATCTGGAGCCAGTGTCTGTTCTGCCACAGCATGACTGTAACAGCACAATAGCTAAAGAGAAGGGGGTCCACCTGTATGATGCACTCGCACATCACGGTGTTGAGCCAGGACATGTGCACTGAAATGCACGGAAGGACAGGTGTCTGCTCCTGGGTGAGACCACAGAGGAAGGATGAATGTATTCGGGTCACTCAGGGACTTCTATACAGGTACAAAAATTTACATCAAAGCAGCCACAAGAATGATGAACAGGAGATGCACAAATGAACACAGTGTTTATACTCAGAAATACTGGTTTGTAAGAGCACTTCAGATTTCAGATTAGTAATGTGCAGCATGTACTGACCTTGTGGGAATAAAAGGGCTCATAAAGAGATGCTATGAATGAGTCCACACTAACAAATTGGTCTAGGTGAAACAAACAGATTCCCAGAAATACACGACCTATTAAGACTGAATCACGGAGAACTGTAAAACAGGAATAGATCAATACCAAGTAAAGAAACTGAGTAAACATGCAAGCTAATTGGTTTAAAGGTACAGATCTGGGCCAATAAAACAATGTATTTTTATAAAACAGGATATCATTTGTGGCACTGGCCACCTTGACACAACCTCATCAGAAGAAAAAATGGACAGAACACCTGTCATGAGGACAATTGAGCTACATGAAGGGAATGGATTTTGAAACGGTCATTTCTTTCGTCTCTAATAATGTTGCCATTTCCCAGAGAACAGCTTTGGGGCAGGAAAGAACTGTATTTCATTTCAAGCTGGACTACTCATCTACCAAAATACCATTCTGACCAAAGAAACAGATGCAGAATTACAGTCACAGCTGCATTCTGCAGAGAACAAGTTGGATAATGGTACTCTAAATCGCTAATTACACTGTTAATGATGTTTTTACTGTCATTGCAGCATTTTGCCACCTTTGTATAAAATTTTTTAAAAATCATCTAGGAAGTTTTTTAAATGGTGAATTTTTGTTTTGTTAAATACCAGTGAGTCTTCCAAAGAGAAATTCCACATAAAATCCATTTCTTGAAATGGCATTCTCATGTGGGATTTTGTGGGAGCCTCTTTATTATGAGCTATTTGTTTTAATTTACTTTCTCACCAATTTACTTGCATTTCAGATTACAGAGATCATTAAGAATGTCAGTATTAATGTTTACATGTGGATCCATAGTTGGTATGAAGAGATAAACTAACATATGTCATGACACAATGACTAAATTTACCAAAAGTAATAGCAACAGTACGGTTTTATTTGTATTGTGATAACCATGGTGAAATTTATTACAATGTTAGTACTCTGTTTTCAATCCATGCCAACATAGCTGAGGGAGATAATTACATTTTTAATATGAAAATGTTACTAATGTTTTGATTTCCCTTTAGTAGATTACAGTACGCAGATGAAAGTACGGCCACTATTCTATATTGCTTCTTGTACCCTGACGTGGTAGATTACTTTTCTCTACACACAAATTCCTACTAAATAATTTTATTAAAATTTCTGAATAATTTGCTTTTTAAGTGAACACCTGAAGCTGGCAGAAATCTTACACACATTAGAGTTATAAATATTTTACATGCAGAAAATGTGCCAATCACAACTATCTCACATTTGCTTTGTTTTGTTTGAGACAGGGTCTTGCTACGTAGTTCAGGGTATCCTTGAACTTACTATGTAGCCCAGGCTGGCCTCGAATTTGAGGTATCCTTCTGCCTCAGCCTCCTGAGTGCTGGGATTACAGATGTGCACCACCACGTTCAGCTACTCATACTGGTTTTGTTGTTTTTTGTTTTTTGTTTTTTTTACAATTTTTATTTAGCAAGGTAAATTAACAATTTAAAATTAAAAACAATAGGGCCGGGAATTTAGCTCAGTGGCTCCACCAGCTGCCTCGCAAGTGCAAGGACCAGAGTTCGATCCCCAGTACCAGAAAATAAATAAATAAATAAAATTTTAAAAAATCACGCAATCACAAATTCTCAGGCAAATACTTACATTTTCTTCTAACTGATCATCCATTTTCAGTGACCTTTTAACACTGCAAATAAAATAATTAAGGAAATCTTAGATTTGATATGATTTAACTAGGCAAATACTTAAAGGTAAGAAACATAAACAGTGTAAGTCACTCTTACCACATAACTTTTATTTTATTTATTAAAGTACAACACCATATATGAAAAATTATTCAAGATGATTGGTTTAATAGCATATTTTAATAATATTTAAATGGATCAGTTTTTCACATGTGTTATTTTTTACATAGACTACTAAACAACTTAAACATTAAAGCCATAAATTATCCTGGTAAAAAAATTAGTATATTTATCTGCATAAAATACCACTAATAAAAATTATACATAAGAGCAAATTAATTTGCATACTTTCATGGAATGTTGAGAATACACTATTTGCAAAACAGTACACTAGGTGCTAAAGGTATGAGCAAGGTGAAAGGGGTTTTGCACATTATTCTAGCAAGGAACATGATTCAGGGCAGCCAGGCTATGACCTAACCGAGGAACAGATGCTCTATGTCTTTACCAGTCCTCAATTCACAAGTAACTATTTTTTGTTTCCTTCACTAAACTGATTCAGGAACATGCCAGGCTCTTGGTGTGCAAAATCTGTTCTGCTAAACTGGATGCCCAGCTGTTGGTGACAATGCTTAGAAAGGAAAGCTGAATATTTATAATACTTTATTTCATACAGCTGTCTTCTAAAGAGCAGTCATCAACATTTTATTGAATGCATACTAAATGCTCAAAGGAAAAAAAGGTCAATATAAATTAAAGCTAGTTTTCCCAGTGACAAATGCAGCACTAAAAGTACTTTCTTGATCTCTGAGAAACAGAAATTATTAAAAGTATTAGAGAATTAGAACCTTACGCAAAAGGTTACATTTCCTAAGTTGTATTATAGGACAACCCCAAAATTTGTATAGATCTTAGAAAATGATTACCTCCAAATAACTACTGACTTATAAACAGACAGGAACAAGACAAAAATGGAAGAGATTGTCAACCTAAGAAAATTATTGGGCAGTAAATATTAAATTAAAAAATTAATCCCTCTAAAAAGGGTTTAATTTTACTATCACATCTACATTCACCAATTGTATTATTTCTTGAGATTGGTTTAATTATTATTTATATCTTTTAGAAGTCCATTTCAAATCAATTTAATGTGAATTCTTTTTTTGGGGGGGTACTGGGGATTGAACTCGTGTCCTTGCGCTTGCAAAGCAGGCCACCTGAACCGATGAGCTAAATCCCCGGCCTTTAATGTGAATTCTTAATGGAACAAGAACAGAACAGAGGGATGAACAAATAAAAATGGCAGATTATTTTAAAAAGTAAAATATTTCTATTAAGCCTTGGAACAAATATTACCCTATTTAGGTAGGTGAAGTGTGCTGGTTTTTATGACATTTCAAAAGCAGAAACAAACACTAAAGTCACATAGTACAGCATATCTTGTTGTTTTAAAATACCAATAAACAAGAACAAGGACCCGAGTTCGATCCCGGTACCAAAAACAAACAAACAAACGAACAAAAAAAACCAATAAGATGCAGCATCTGAAAGATGTCTTTTTAAGACAGACACAGAGCCTACCCTGATATCAACTGTTTATAGTAGTATTGCTTTATCACCGCTGGTTAATTCTTAGAGAAGTAACTCTACATCTGGATTTGAAAGCTTTCTAGATTAGGTCCTAGGTGAACATAAGAAGCCCAAGGAACTATGTAAAAGTATAAGAAAGTCCACTGAGTTACAAAAGGCTGCCATCCCATGTTATCTTGGTGAGGACCTAAATGCATGATTCACCAAGGGTAATGCAGCGCTCAGAGAGGTCAGGTCTGATCCACAGGTGCTGGTGATATTGCTAAGTATCTGAGGACACTTAACAGGCAAGACTGAAAGAAATCTAGGGAAATACTTAGTTCAGCCAATGGGGAAAAGGGTTTTGTACCTCACCTACTGTTGCATATTTTGAGAGAGGGAAACAGGTCTCAGGTCTTATGCATTTTAAATCTTTGTTGAATGGAGGAGGCACTGAAGAACAGGTAAAGAAATTAAACCTACTAGGAAATTTATGATTGTTTATTCTTACATCTCAGAACTGAACTCACTACTATACACACAAAGCTCTCCTTTATCTATAAACAAGTGTAACCCAAGAATGAGGTGATATTGAGTTCTGGAGAATGATGTTAACAGGAACAAAGAAGAAATGATGTACAAGAGATATAAACATCTAAAAACAGGCAAAACTTGACTAGGTATCAGATAAATATTTTTTCTAAACTTTATTTACTACCAGTGTTATGTAATGATTAAAAATGAGATGTTTCTGGTATTTCTATAAATATCAGGTAAAGCTTTAAGTAGTTCTTAGGGTTACTACTTCGGTTTAAACAAGTGGGCACATAAAAATGAGCAAAAGACTTGAAAAAGCATTTCCCCAAAGGTGCATTAACAAGCTGGTAAGCAACATGAAAAGATGGTCATCATCCCTGATCAAGGAAATGCAAATTGGAACCATAGGAGCTACCATTTCTCATCCATTAGAAAGGCTAAAAAAATGGAAATGAAAATAACAAGGGCTGAGGAGGATATGAGAAGCTGGAGCCCTTATTCAGTGCCAGTGGGATGCAAAATGATGCTGCTGCTGGGGAAAACACTATGGCAGCTCTCCAGATAATTCCACACAGAATTACCCCATGACCCAGCGATTCCACTCCCCAAAGCATTGAAAGCCGACATGAACAAATGTTAGCATACCAGAATTCATGGCAGCACTGTGCATAAGAGCCGACAGGCAGAAGCAACACGGGTCCCTGGCAGATGAATAAGCAAAGCGAGGTACAGATGGACAACAGAATACCGTTCAGCCTTAGCGAGGGGGAGCTCTGACAGGTGCTATGACACCAATGAACCCTGAAGATATCACACTAAAAGAAAAGGAAAAATACAGTATTTCACTCATAAGAGTAAACAAATTGAGAGCCAGAAAACACAATGGTGGTTGTCAGGGGCAAGAGGGAGGGAGGAAGTGATTGTTTAATGGGTGCAGTGTTGGTTTTGAGAAAAAAGGTCTGGAAATAGTGGCGACAGCTCTGAACAGCTCGAACATGCCTCCTCCAGGGTGATCCACAACCTCTGTGGGCAACCCCACCTCCAACTTCCCCCAATTCCCATCTATGCCCATGATCTAAATACTATGCTCCATTTCTAGGCTTACTATGTTTAGATTCACTGGGCTCAAAATTCTGGTTGCTACCAGAATTATTGCCGTTGGAATTTTTATTTTTATTTTTTGGTGCCGGGGATCCAACTTAGGCCCTTGCGTTTGTGAGGAAGGTGGCGGAACCACTGAGCCAAATCCCAGCCACTTGGAATTTTAAAAAAAGATATAAAAAATCTCGCATGGAATTTTATATCAAAAGGAGAGTAACCACACAGAATTAGTGGTATTACTCTCAAAGACTATCCTCTATTTTATCTCACTTACTACATGGTAGTATCCTGAGTAGGATTCTCTACAATGGTACGAACACCAGCAGTATTAAAGAAATTATTCTAGGGGGAAAAGTTTATCATTTGATTCCTAACCAGGGACCAGAACTGACATGTGGGAAACTAAAAAGATTATATAACTTGAGTTCTTTTTTTTTTTTTTTTTTTTT